CCCTGACTTAAACCCCATTGAGCATCTCTGGAGAGACCTGAAAATGGCTGTCCACCAACGTTTACCATCCAACCTGACAGCACTGGAGAGGATCTGCAAGGAGGAATGGCAGAGGATCCCCAAATGCAGGTGTGAACTTGTTGCATCATTCCCAAAAAGACTCATGGCTGTATTAGCTCAAAGGGGTGCTTCTACTAAATACTGAGCAAAGGGTCTGAATACTTATGACCATGTGATATTTCAGTTTTTCTTTTTTAATAAATCTGCAAAAATGTCAAAAATTCTGTGTTTTTCTGTCAATATGGGGTGCTGTGTGTACATTAATGAGGAAAAAAATGAACTTAAATGATTTTAGCATATGGCTGCAATATAACAGAGTGAAAAATTTAAGGGGGTCTGAATACTTTCTGTACCCACATTTCAAACATCTTTATCAACAAACTTATTAACAACACAATGAGAAAGTTTACTGCATGTTTTATAAATGTGCCCACATACAACATGTCCATCTGTGGATAACAATTAGTGCCCAGTCAGGCGGCGTTCGTGCCTTTTCGAAATGTCCGACATTGAAGGTCAAATGTTGTTGCCCTTTAACTATGTACTTTATAGCCTGGTTACATCATTTTCAGACTCATCAGACTGTTCAGTAAACCCCTTGTGCACCGTTATGGACGCAGCTTTAGTAGCTCTCCACTCATTTATTCTAGATTCTCTTTTAATCTGTCACTTATCTCGTTGTCTAACAGAAACCCCACCTTATAAATAAACCAGGTCTCTTTAACCCTTACCACAGTTAAGGAAATGAAAAAAGTTAGGAAAATCTGTTACTTCCGGTCAGTGATTAATTTAATTAAACACACTGATTGTGATACTGTTAATAAACACACCCAAAGAAGTTAATGCAGTGCTAAATATACTTGATAATTCTTTACCATCCATTGTCAGAAATTTCAGTGATAGTCAAACACTTTGCAAGTAAACAGAAAATATTTATTATGAAAAAACTAAAATTGAGTTTAACACTTCATGGCTGCAGTGAAGCTCTGTTAGGGGTTGTTATCAGCTTTATTGTGTTGGTTAGCTACTTTGGCAACTAAGGGGTCAGTTTTCTGTGTCCCAAAAGCTGTGAGCCTTCCCCCATGTGTCAGCAAGGGTTCAGTTCCTGTGATGGATCACCTGTGGACACAATACCAGGGTCCTGACCCAGAGGGATTCCCAGCTATGCCCTAATTAACTTAATACCTATTAATCTACAAGACTGTGCTCCCCTCTGCCACCTGTGCCTATTTTGTGAAGGGGCCTAGGACAAATGTGACAGGAATGAATCAGCTCCCAAATTGGTGCTAGTGATTTTTCTTGTATGGACAACAGACAAACAGAGGATCCAGATTATGAATGTTTCTGTGTGTTTATTTGAACAGTCCATCATTGAGAAGGTAGAGGAGGTCAGGGCATCGTGGCAACACAATGTGATTGAATGGCAGAGGTGGCTAAAAAGGATCCAACACAACAAATACTATGACAAGGTAGTTTCATTTTAAAGACAGTATAATGAAAAATAGTTGTTTCATGTATGAATCCTGTGTCATTTTGTTCACATAACTCTTCAAATATATTGTTAAAAATGAATATGTTACCCTTTTTTCTGGATATTGCTAATGAGCTAAGAGGCGAGCTAGTGTTTGCACCCAATAAATACCAGTAATATACAGACATAACATATTTGTATCTTTGTTCAGCAGTGAGGTTTCATGAAGAAGAAATGAAATCTGGTAGAGTGAATCATTTAAATTTTAACTTTTGGTAAGTATTTGAGAGCAAGATCACTAATAGCATCAGAGTATCGTGATCATTTACCAGAGATATAATTGATAGATAATTTAGAAAATAACATTTTTTAAATGTCAGTAATCTAAAACTATGTATTCTCCAATTTTTAAGAGTCACAACTGATTTCCCCCTTACTTAAAAGTTGGCCGTTTTTTAAAGAAAATCAATAAAAACCAGATCAGCAGCAAAGACATGTTGGTATGGAAATAAGTTTACATCAAAGAAATTTAAAGTAAAAACAGGTGCTCACTGATAAGTATCAAGTATCATAGGGCATGTCGATATGTGGTCCTGGCTCAAATACCACTAAACTAGGTTTTTGGATAAAGCTCAAAATATTAAATAAGCAAGTACATGTTGAGTCAGCAACTCTGCAGGCAAATGCTTCACATTTGATGTTTTACATCAAATGTTGAGGTTGCACTGTCACATCACTGTAAGGTGGCAGTGCATGCAGTGACACTGAGTTAAATAAAATCCACGGTTCTCAGCGCAGCCAGACACATGTTGGCATTCAGTACACACACAAATACACCCAGACTCTTTCAAAAACCACCCTGGGAAAAGAACCAGGAATTCTCTAAAGGAATGCCTTCACTTCCTGGTTTCCACACTTTTGAACCAGCTCCAAACTGGCTCTAGCACCATCTCAAAACTAGCACTTGTTTGAGTGGGTCAAAAAGAACTAAGTGGTGACCTGGAGACAGCCACAAGTGACGGACGTATCTGCCTGAGGTCAGTGAGAGCATTTAGTCCACCTCCTCTAACATTCACATCAACACATCATACTAGAAGGTTACTGAAGGATCATGGGCTCCCTCGCTAACATGTAAATACTAATCCAGATACATGCAGTGCTTGGAGGATGCAGCTACCACAGATCTGTGTTTATTACTGTTTTTGTTGTCAGTTACAATGTTTCTGTTTTCAAAAAAGAGCTCCAAAGGCTAAGAGTGGCCATCATTGTTTAAAGAAAGAGTCAACTGTGCATGCACATGATCTCTGCTCCATCGGTATACAGTGCCTTGCGAAAGTATTCGGCCCCCTTGAACTTTGCGACCTTTTGCCACATTTCAGGCTTCAAACATAAAGATATAAAACTGTAATTTTTTGTGAAGAATCAACAACAAGTGGGACACAACCATGAAGTGGAACGAAATTTATTGGATATTTCAAACGTTTTTAACAAATAAAAAACTGAAAAATTGGGCGTGAAAAATTATTCAGCCCCTTTACTTTCAGTGCAGCAAACTCTCTCCAGAAGTGCAGTGAGGATCTCTGAATGATCCAATGTTGACCTAAATAACTAATGATGATAAATAGAATCCACCTGTGTGTAATCAAGTCTCCATATAAATGCACCTGCACTGTGATAGTCTCAGAGGTCCGTTTAAAGCACAGAGAGCATCATGAAGAACAAGGAACACACCAGGCAGGTCCGAGATACTGTTGTGGAGAAGTTTAAAGCCGGATTTGGATACAAAAAGATTTCCCAAGCTTTAAACATCCCAAGGAGCACTGTGCAAGCGATAATATTGAAATGGAAGGAGTATCAGACCACTGCAAATCTACCAAGACCTGACCGTCCCTCTAAACTTTCAGCTCATACAAGGAGAAGACTGATCAGAGAGGCAGCCAAGAGGCCCATGATCACTCGGGATTAACTGCAGAGATCTACAGCTGAGGTGGGAGACTCTGTCCATAGGACAACAATCAGTCGTATACTGCACAAATCTGGCCTTTATGGAAGAGTGGCAAGAAGAAAGCCATTTCTTAAAGATATCCATAAAAAGTGTCATTTAAAGTTTGCCACAAGCCACCTGGGAGACACACCAAACATGTGGAAGAAGGTGCTCTGGTCAGATGAAACCAAAATCGAACTTTTTGGCAACAATGCAAAACGTTATGTTTGGCGTAAAAGCAACACAGCTCATCACCCTGAACACACCATCCCCACTGTCAAACATGGTGGTGGCAGCATCATGGTTTGGGCCTGCTTTTCTTCAGCAGGGACAGGGAAGATGGTTAAAATTGATGGGAAGATGGATGGAGCCAAATACAGGACCATTCTGGAAGGAAACCTGATGGAGTCTGCAAAAGACCTGAGACTGGGACGGAGATTTGTCTTCCAACAAGACAATGATCCAAAACATAAAGCAAAATCTACAATGGAATGGTTCACAAATAAACATATCCAGGTGTTAGAATGGCCAAGTCAAAGTCCAGACCTGAATCCAATCGAGAATCTGTGGAAAGAACTGAAAACTGCTGTTCACAAACGCTCTCCATCCAACCTCACTGAGCTCGAGCTGTTTTGCAAGGAGGAATGGGCAAAAATTTCAGTCTCTCGATGTGCAAAACTGATAGACATACCCCAAGCGACTTACAGCTGTAATCGCAGCAAAAGGTGGCGCTACAAAGTATTAACTTAAGGGGGCTGAATAATTTTGCACGCCCAATTTTTCAGTTTTTTATTTGTTAAAAAAGTTTGAAATATCCAATAAATTTCATTCCACTTCATGATTGTGTCCGAGAAGCTAATGAGTAGTCTAAACACACAGGTGATCCTTTCTTACTCTTTGTTACAGTTGACTGTAAATAATACTAATAAAAAAAACTCATTTCATTTTTGATCATTTAGCCTACCTCATACCTTGTGTCATTCAAAGTGGTCTAGAAAGGTCTAAAAAGTCTTCTGTCTAAACTGGTGAAACCTTGTTGCTGTGAGACTGTCCTCCTGTAAAAAAACAAAAACAAAATAAAGAGTCCATGTGTCATTTGTGGCAGCAGGTTATTAGGACCAGCAGTGTTATATTTAGGATTTGGAGGATTTGGGCTGCAGTAAAAAGTATATTTTGGTTCTGACTTTTTCCCCTCAGAATTCTGACTTTAAAGCTAACTTATTTAAAAACATCAAAATTCTGAGATTAAGAACAAAACACATTTTTTACAGTGGCCCTAATCCTTCTAGCCACTGTAGTAATTTTGACACAAGCTGTGTCTAAATTCAGGGGTTGCATCCTTTGGAGAACAGTTAAAGGAGCCTTCGAAATGAGACGACCTCATCTCAACACTGTGATGCAGTTGAAGGATGCAACCCTGAAATGGGACACAGCTACAAGCAAAGGAGGAATTTAAGTGAAGTTGTATATAGCATGACAAAGTCCATGTTAGGATTAGGTTGGGACTGCTGGGTCAGGAAATACAGGACTATAGGACAATTCTTAGGAAATGTTTTTTATCTATAACTTTTATACTATCTTAACCCCACGTTTATTATGAAGACAAAGGTTTCCACAGTCTTTATATCTTTTTATAAATCTAATCAAGAAGTGTTTGTTTCCAGTACCTGTGTTTATAATTGTTTCTATGATGATGGAGGTCTGATAAAACTGGTCCATATATTTCTTACTTCCAGGCTGGACTGCTGTAACTCTTTACTATCAGGATGTCCCAGTAACTCCCTAAAATCCTTCAATTCATCCTACTGACAGAGACTAGTGAGAAAGATCAGGGACCTACTTCACTAGGATTAAAAGGTGGAGTTCGGGTTGGCTCAGGTGACCCTGGCACTCAGAATCAGTTTATAGAAATCTCCTGTGGTAAAGCAACACTTTTTGTTTTGGGTCTGTGCAAAGCATTCGCTTGTGTGATTTTTTAAATGGATATTGCGGATTTAAGAGGTCCTGTTGATTTGAGAATGGTGGTCTATAATCTTCATAACAGCATCTACAGAAATTCAGATTATTAGAATTTTTAGTGAAGTGTGTTGGCTGGTAAACAGATCAACAGCATGAACACTGTGACACACTGACAGCCTCTCTGGGATGAATCCACCCTTGTTTCTTCTTCATATTTGCACTACCTCAAGCACCATCTATGCATGTTTTTTCCCTTCATTATTCATTTTCATACCATCCATAATTCATGTTTTAGTGAATTGCCTCTGTATTCATACAGTCCACGGTGGGTTCCATACAGCTGCAGTCTGGATTGTGCCACACTTTCTGCATCATGTGTCCCAGATCAGCAGGCATGCGACGCAGGAGGTGGTGGTGGGGTTTAATGTGGAGGAAACGAGAATGACAGGATTCGGGTGAGAAATGGGCAATAAATGTACTGATTTAGTGGTGAGAGAGGCTCATTAGGAGTATGATACAAAAGGAGACAGGACATTTTTGAAAAGAATAATAAAAAAAAAGATTAAAGGAATAGCAGGAGTTAGATGGCAAGATCAGTGCTCTGCTAGCAAGGTGAAACGGCTAGCCCAGCTCCATGAATGGGGCATTAGTTGGAGAAAGAAGGTAGATGATTGTAATTTAAAGTTACAATTTTTTGTAGCATTTTATTAGGGTTTTATCCCTTACGTTTGGTTAGAAGTACTCTTGGCTGTTTCTTCGGCTGACACTGAGTGTTGAGAAGTTGTGAAAAGATGAAGTACATTATAAGGATTGGTGGAGTGACTAATGGTGGTAAAACCCCCCTGACCAATAAGTTGGTCCAGACTTTGCCCAGTTGTCAGGGATGACAGCTTTAAACAATAGGACGTTATCACAGCTTTGGATATGGAGGCCATGACCAACACGGTGAAAGGCTGGATTGAGAACCCCGTGAAGTTTGCCTGTTCTCACGGTGTTCCTTTGACCTCTGCCTCTGATGTGGCCAACCCCGACGAGCAGATCCACATCCTGATTGTGGAGAGCTTCCTGCTCTACAACTACCATCCCCTTCTGGACGTGTTCAGTAAGACCTATTGCATCACAATTCCCTATGAGGGGTGCAAAAGAAGGAGAAGTACAAGGCAGTACACAGTCCCCGACCCTCTCGGCATCGTTGATGGCTATGTGTGGCCCATGTACCTGAAGCACAGAAGACAGATGGAGGCAAGCAGACTGAACATCATATACCTGGATGGCCTGAAATCCAAAGAGGACATTTACAACCAGGTGTATGAAGACATTCCGAACAACCTGCTCATTGTTTTATAGCAGGAAGACTCCTCTTCATCCCTGTACAGAATTTGTAAATAGTCCCAAAAAATGAAGTTTAATGAAGTTTTTAATTTTATTCTTTTTTGTACATATTAAAAAACAGTAGCACAGTGATGTTAACTTATCATTTTCTTTTTTTTATCATCTTATATGATCAATGCTTGTTTTTCCCCTTATCAACTGATTGTTGAACTGATTATGTTAAACTTAAATGTACTGGACCATTTGTCTGCCTGTCTCACTGTCTGACAAATAAACACATTAGTGGCTTGAAAGATGAAATACATCCATAAAAGGGGGGTGGCTGTGGCTCAGGAGGTAGAGTGGGTCATTTCCTAACCGGAGGATTAGCAGTTCGATTCTCAGCTTGTCCAGTCAACATGTTGAAGTGTTCTTGAGCAAAACACTGAACCCGGTGATAACACCGGTGTGTGAATGTGTGAGCATTTGAGTGGGTGAATGACCCAGTAGTGTATGCGTGCTGCAAAGCGTAGAAAAGCGCTATACAAGTATAAGACTATTTACCATCCAAAGGTAACAAAAATACCTTCTTCATTTTAGCTTGCTTGTTTAATCTGTAGAAAATCAAGGTGGAAAAATGTCAGTTTGAGGTTTTATGTTCTTGTAAATTCAATGAATCATTGAAGGTGCAGGAAAATAAAATGCAGAAAGACAGAATCAGGATTAGTTTTTCAGCACTTCTTTGTCCTTACCAATTTGCTCTTTTTCCCTCTTTATGTCTGTTGACTAGCATGCAGCACCCTGAGGGTGTCTGTGATGTCCCCGAGGTGACCTGCTGACAAATGGGGCTAAATCACCATCTGTCCCAGCTCTGTGATCACCTGACCTTAAACCATCAACCTTGACCTTTACTACCTCCACCCACGCACGTGCCTGCTGCCGTTACACTGTGCACACACACACACACACACATGCACACACAGTCACAACATCTTGAACACACAAGTCCTTACATGAGAATCAATGGAACTTGTAAGCCTTCCATTTCCTCCTTACCAAGCACTTTTCTCATCGTCAGAATGTAGTGTTCCCTCATTCCTGGTGGAAAATGCACCCGTTAGAAAAGCACATTTCTTTTTTCAAGATTTTGAACAGTGATAAAAAATATTTCCTCTGTCGCCGTTCTGCTGGGCTGAAGACAGATCTTTCAGAACTGGTGTCTCCAAATCTGGACCACTAAAAGCAGAACTATCTGCATGGATAGATCCATAAGGATTGAGTAATTTTGTTGTGACTTGGGTCAGCTGACCCTTTAAAGGGCTTGTCTGTAAAAATATGTCAGAAAGGACAGGGGTGTATGGGGTTTGTCTATGTAGTTAATTATGCATTGAGTTGTAATGATATATTCAAATAAAATGTTCTACAACAGAAACCGCAATGAACATGTTTAATGGTTGTTGCCACGTGAATCGAAATGTGTTGACTTTATTATGAACTCAAATGTTGTTTAGCAGGAGCCATTTTATATGTGTGTCACTTTTTCCGTTTCTTTCACATTCCAGTGGGCAGAGGTAACGGCTGTACACTGCCATTATAAAACCCAGAAGAACGCTGTGGTCTCCTCCGCTGGAAGCCTCATATGCTGCCTGGGCAATTGCTCTGTCCACATCTCACATTTTAACCTGCGCGCCAAGGCAAATCAGACTTAGCCTGCTGCTCGAGACTTCGCCCGATCATGTTTCCTTGCTGTTGATCCACTTCTGCTGTCAACTGTGCAACACAATTTCATCATTTTTTCCACTGGTTTGGTTTGCTGGTGTGTTCTGCCTTACAGTGTTTGTATTTTCTAGTTTGTGCTGCTTCATCTCTCAATTTTGAGTGTAAATATTCTTTACAATTTCTATTTATTTAGTTAATATTAGTATGCCACTATGTTAATGAATAATATATGAATATTTGGCTTAGGAAAATCATCAGCACTGAAGAACAACAAGAGTCATCCTTCAAGGAAATAGTAAAGGTCCCTGTACAGTATAATTCACAACTCATTGTCTGCTGGCTTACATTGAAGCCTGTGTGACCAGAAACAACGACAGCAACTGATGATGCTATGTCTTCCAGGAACCTGTGAATGATTTCCTCTTCTCTGAAGTGTAGTCAGTTGACCAGGGGTCAGCGTCTGGGGCCTTATGAGTTACTTCCTCCTCAACTGCAAGTCACTGAATGGACAATCACAAGCACAAGTGGAGCTGTAAGCTACAATCAGCCTGCTGTTTAATGGTCTCTTTATTGACTGTGAAGCTGTGGGAAATGTGGGTTACATAAGAGTGGGAACAGCAATGTTTATACATGTCATTACTAAATTTCTGGCAAATGTTATGGAGCTGAATGTTATTGATAAGGAAAGCACTTGGAGGTGTTTCAGTCTATAAATGCTTGCACTTAAGAGTGTTAATGCTGTAGGAGTGTTTGGGTGCCTGGAGCTCAGGTGGTAGATCAAATAGATAAGATAGTTATATAAACCAGAAACCTAAGGACCTGCCAACCCACACAGGGTTTAGGTTAGAAGGAAGTGCACACCCCTGCCTCTGACTTACAAAATAAAGCCACAGTCACACAGTCAGACACGTAAGCTTTTTGTTTTGACAGGTAGAGCACCAAAACCACATTGCCATGTCTTTTCTCTCAGCACTTCTACTGCTGCTGCTGCTGCTTCACAAAGATGATAATTTCATTTCTGAAGCGTCAGTTTTAACAGTGTTCATGCCTACAAAATGCCACAGGTTGCTTTAGCTAGTTTGTACATTTTTATTTCAGTTCTTTTTGTGACTTTCCAGAGATCTGACAATTAACTCCTGACTGCAATGCTGCGAGGTTCTTCTACCAAAATCACAACCCACTTCATGCAGAAAAGAAGACAACATTGTTTAACATCATCAATACTTACAAAAGTAATTTTAGTAATATAATAGAGCACTGCCTGTGTCTCATTTAATGTTTCTGCCTCTGCTGGGTGTCAGCAGGGAAAAGGTGAACAACTCACAAACAGTTTGAGAGCAATACAGTCTGTAGTCTGAATAGGCAATACTGTAGTAAATAGGGTGATGACACGACAAAAAGAAAATAAAATTTATTTTGTAGACACAAATATGTTTAATTTAGCCAACTGTGCACATAAAATTTAAAAGTGAACTTTAAAAGTGCAAGTGGAAACCTCACACCAAAACAGAAAATGCATCCTTGAATTTGTCTGTTGTGCAGACTTCAGTCAGAACGAATAGGACATGGAGCAAATGGGATGGAAGCTTTGAGTCCAGTGCCATCCAACCACTGATGATAGCTACAGCCCCTTGTACAGTCCAAACTACTGTGGTATGTATGGTACTTATCGTATGAGCCCACCAACTGCCCAGCACTATTTGTAAATATGTCCAAAGAAATTCTGCATGTGTGTAATAAACTTAAGTGTAATATTGCAGCTGCAGCCTTACTTTTTTAATGTATTTGATCTAGTTTATATATTTTTCATCCTAGTATGGGATTTTAATGTTTATATTTTAATTATTATTTATACTTTTAGTATGTTTTAATACACCACAATAGGATTGCTCACCAAATTTTGTTGTACACTGTGCAATCACAATAAAGGAATCTGTTAATCTAATGTGACTGTACCTTAGGTAGGTAAGTAGGTAGGTAGGTAGGACTTTATTGATCCCACAATGGGGAAATTCCTGTGTTCCAGCAGCAACAAAACACCATAAGAACAAACACCACACACATATCAGAGTCAGTTTATTGGCCAGGTGTATTGGACACACCAGGAATTTGACTCAGGTACATCAGCTCTCAATATGCAGACAGTAAACCAGCATAAGGCTGTGTAATATAACAAAATAGCAGTATTAACATCAACAACCAGTGCAAACAATGCAGAAAAAGCAGTATAAGTAGACAGTAAACAATGGAGACAACAAAGGAATGTTCATTGAAATTAGATAATTAGGGATAAAGATAGAGCACTTAAAACAGGGTACTAGAGACCTGTACGAGTCTATAAAATCTGTACAGTGTATATATACACAGGTATTGCACTGAGGGTTATTGTCCAATCATACTGTCGTGGGTTAAGTGTTCATCAGAGTAACAGCCTGGGGGAAGAAACTGTCCCTGTGCCTGGTTGTCTTGGTGCACAGTGACCTGTAACGCCGTCCAGAGGGGAGGAGTTCAAACAGATTGTATCCAGGGTGTGAGGGATCAGCAGTGCTGTAGAACTGTATCAGCAGCTCCTGGGGCAGGTCGAACTTCCTGAGCTGGCGCAGGAAGTACATCCTCTGCTGTGCCTTCTTGGTGATGGTCCTTGAGAAACAAATTCCAAAGTACCTAAAACCAAACAGAATATAATATTTGAGAGACAATCAAGAACAAAAATGATCCTCCCACAATTAATCCCTGAGAACAAATCAAAATACCTAAGAACAAGACAAAATATAGTATTCAAGAGATCAAGAAATCAGGGACAAGAATATTACTCCCATAATTAATCCTGCAATGGGGAAAATACCTGTATTTCAGCCATGAGGATGATGAAAAAACTACTCAAAAATTCCTAAAACAAGACTATTTAAAGTATTCAAGAGAAATCAAGGACAAGATTTTACATATGTGCATATTTACAATGCATTTTACCCCCAGGATTTGAGTATTGCACTTCAGTTGACTATTCCATAGTCCCTCATAATTTCACCCAGTTTATCACTGTAGTGATGTATTGTACAGTCTGATAGCTGTGGGGAGGACCGACCTATGGTAATGCTCCTTCTTGCACTGGGGATGTAGCAGTCCTGTGCTAAAAGAACTGGTCAGAGCCTCTACTGTGTGGTGCAGGGGATGGGAGTGGTTATGCAAGATGGATGTTAGTTTTGCCAGCATCCTTCTGTCCACCACCTCCTCAATGGAATCCAGAGAGCAGTCCAGGATGGTGGTAGATTTTGTTTTGTAATGTGAATGTTGTATTTCTACGATTTAGCTTGCAACTGTTGCAGTGAAAGGTCACATAGCCGACTTTGTGATAACTTTTCACTTTCCCCTTTGTCATAATATTATAAGATGATGTGCATATGTTTTGGCATCTGGTAAACCTTCAAAATCATAGATCTACAGCTCTTTCTCACCAGTACCTGATACAAAACAACCCCTTCAAGCTGTTTTTGGTCTGAAAGACCACTTACAGTATTAGGTAAAGGCGTGTTTGGCTAGATACCTATGAGATTATACAATCCAGGTAGGGTGGTTTGAGTTATACAGTGGTATGTCTGAAGACTTTTTAGACACTAAAACACTGCACAGTGGTCGTTACATAACACTAAGTCAGGCTGGCACAAACTGTGCAAGCATGTTCTCATTGAGATGAATTAGGGGGCTGAGCTTTTTCTCTGTTTATCTGAACATGCCCTGAAACTGAAGGCCTGAGAAAGAATTGTGAGGATGGTGGTATGACCTTTAAACCTTGTCTTTCCTCCTGCCTTATTATTCTTATGCCACCCCCCAACCTTAACCAAACACACTGTAGTGGGCTGCAGACAGCTAAGACCAGTTTGATTGTGATAAGTGGATAAATGTGTGCTAAACATCAGTACAAAAGATTGAGAAAGTGACATTTTGAAAGGTGTAACATTTGCTGATAAACTAGGACACCTTTTGATTGAGTTTTTTATTTTTTTTAATTTTTTTTACAAAGCTTGGTATAATATTCTTTCCATCCATCATGGAAAGGTGATGCTATTGATACTGCCAATCAACTGTGATAGTCCTTCTCTCTTTCCTCCTGTATAGCTTTCCCATCCTAAATGTGTTTATTTTCTAAATAAATACTGCAAACAGTAAATATGGACATAGCATCATAGAATATAGAGTAACAGGTCACATGTTTTTGTTTCACACAAACTGAAAATAACCCTATGTTTCAGATGAACCTTTCTGTTAAATCCATAAAGACTAAACTTTCACCAGTGAACACCCACAGTTAAAATGTGATTGTGCTATGATCACCTCACACAGCTCTTTGATATGCAGCAAGTATACTCATCACATGACTTTTGTTCTTATTGACACTTATCCAGATGTGTATCCAGACCCAGAGGGGATAATAGTTGGGTCTCTGAGGAGAACAAAACAGTGATTGTTCTCATGGGAACAGTGTTGTAAATTGTTGTATCTTCCTCTACATGGATATGGAGGAAGAGGGAAGAAAACACTTTGCTCTCCTCACAGCTGAGGTCGTCCTGAATTAGGTAATTAAAGCAGGTTGTTGCCAAAACATTAGCTCATCCCTCAGCTTTCTTTTGTCATTAGCTGAGCCCAAACCCCTCCACTGGCCCCCTCTCTTTGAGAAGGAGAACATGAATGAGGCAGATGATGTCTTCAGTTTACTAATTTTCCTGCTCCATTATTCACCTTTAGATTATCTTTTTTGATTAGTTTTATTATAGGGTGCGTATTCTTGTTTGTTTTCCCTCATAAGATGGCCTATAATAATCCTGTAATAAGTCAGTTTGGTTCCCCATTTCATTGTTAAGATCCAGTATGTGAATAGAATTGAGAATATTATCGCTACAGATATAAGAAGATTATGGGAGAAATAATGCAACATGATGATAGTAGCATAGAAGGATACAAAAGACTGATACGATCAACAAACTTTGCACTCACAGGTTCACTTCACTGACTATTTAAGAATACATCCATGTGCAAATATAAATATAAACACACAAATATAGTTTGATTACACATAGCACTCGGCTCTGTAAACCCTATAGGATATTTTTAAATAATAAAATGTATTGCATTTTGAAACTATTTATTTACATTTAGGCATAGTAGGAGATGATATACAGTGTTAGGTATTTTTAGTCAGATAGATATTGGATAGATACTTTATGTATTAGAAATGTTTAGTGGAGATAGGATGTCTAGTTAGACTGTTAAATGCTTAGGCCTGCTTATGGGTTTCTACAGGGTACATCTGGTCAAGGATAACTATAGAGAAAAGTTGATGACTGTAAGCAGACAGGATGTTTAAGATTATTATTATGACGTGTATAACTGTAGCCTTAGCCATAATATGTTCTTATGTTTAATGTCACGACATGTCACTAGAGGTCGTGTGAGAATTTTGGGCCTACTAAAAGTAGGCTATTGAATATTTTCTCTCCAGAAATAAATCCTGAAATATTCCGGTAATGTAATACGGGTCACTGAGTGTTTCTCTTTCAGTTACATCAGCTAATTATGTAGAAAACATTTTTTCTCGTTCAAATGTTAGTTCATGCTTTTATTCTCGCGAGAAGAAGTGGTTGCCATGGTACCAGGCACTCAGAGTCCTCCAAAACTGGCCCAGGCTGACCAATGAGGGGCACCCCGACCGTACCAAGCTGACGGTCGTTTTAGGGGTGCATTAAGTGTCTCCGGTATGTAAGCAATAATTTAAAAAGAATTCAGCGATTCACAATGTTTGAATTCACGGTTACTGAAACGAACTAATCTATTCACAATTTGAAGGCCGTAATTCCTTTTGCAAGAGTATATTACAAACTTACAGACTAATTTTATATTCAGTGGTTGGAGATTACATATGGTATCATCCGCGCCAACAATTGAAAGTTTCTGTGAAAGTAGAGACGTATGTGGTTTGTAGTTACGTTTGCTTGTATCTAGAAATACCTGCTTTGACACACATTGTATGACGTTTATACAGTCTTCATCTTACAGTAAAAAGGCTTTGGACACTGGTGAGTATGTATTTTTAATAAACGTAGGCATGGAGGGCAATAAATATGGCGCACCTGCGTGAGGAACTCAGGTTCTGTTGCAACCTTGGCATAAAGATCAAAGATTTTTATTGTCAATTGACTATATGTGCAGGACATACGGAAGAATCACACTGCTTGGCTGTCGGTGTATTGACACTCAGCTCTCCAGCACAGGAATGAGTGTTGTTCTTTTGTTTTCCTTCAGAGGAAGTTGATGCCTGAAATACACTGCCAGTAAATCAGCTGTCCCTTCCTGTATTTTGCCGGCTGTTTTCTCTTTAAACCAGCAGTTTTGAGTCTGGAGTCTGCTTTAAAATCATGGGTTTTGAGAGGATGCTTACAGAATGTAATCTTTTTTTGTGGCTGATTTAAAATAGCCAAATTTTGTAGGCACCTTCTTTGTTGTTTTCTGTTTGCTGGGAGGTCAAGCTCAGCTACAAAAATAGCCTGAAAAAGTAGCATGTAACTATAACATATTATATGACTAAAGCATGTTGGTGCCAGTAGGAGAGGAAGTATTCACATCTGTTACGTACAAGTTGGTAATATTATGCTGTAAAAGTAGCGGACTCTCTTACTGAAAGGCTGTTACAAAAACTCTTGCATTAATAATGTTAAGTAAATATGGATATTAATACAAAAAGGTACTTAGTGTTAAAAGTATTAATAAGCTACTGAATACAGAAAATATTATACTATCTACTATATTTTGTTAATACACAACAGCCTGTCACTCTGCACTGATGTAAAAGCTGGACTGCTGAGCTACTTTGTATCCAAGTGACACTACTGATTAATTTCATTACGGATTCACCTGCTGATTATTGTCTCTATTAATAGACTGACTGCTTTGTAAAACTAATGACAATAGAGAGACGTGCTGTCACAATTCTTTAAACCATTATCAAAATAGTTCATTTTGTGTGAGAGCACTCACTCACACGCACGCGCATACACATACTCATTTATGTTAACCAGGGAAGTTTGTGTGCGTTTCTGGGTCAGATTGCATTTTATGACTGATGTGTATTGGTGTTCTTGAAGGTGTCCAGTTTCTTTTTTGGTGAATGGAGTTTGGTGGTTTGAGCCTCCTCCTCTCTGCCGTTTGTCCACTGCATGTGGAGCCCGTTTCGGAGTCTGACAGGCAGTCGGGGAAGAAAGGTGCACACCCTTTGCGTTTTTTCTTGGATACTGCTAATATGCAAATGTGCATGGTATGATAACCGTCTATTTTCATACCATATAAACCTATATGAGAAAAGCTGAGAATTCAGCATATGCTGGTTTAATAATCTGCTCATACTCACCAGAGTAACTGACTTGCATTAAGATGTTCACCTTGGGCAACAGCAACAAACAGATCACCTTGTAATTTCTATTCTTAATCATTCCCAGGCCAGGAATGTGGACCCTTCAGCCTAGAAAATCATCTTGGAGTGTTTTATTCATTTATTTGTTTATTTTATGGGCCCTTCAGTGAGTGAGCATTCATCTCAGGAAAACAGTCGATCGGTGCTGGTGTGAGAAGTGTCTTTCTTATATTTGAATGGGAAGAGCATACTGTTAGACTGTTAGGGTAGGCTACATATAGATATAGTGCTGAAATGCCTGCTGTTATTCACATCGGTATTTTGAAGAAGACTGTTTCCTTCATTACCTCAAAGGGAAGCATCAAATAGGAGAAAGAGTATGGGTTGGCCTTGTCTGCACAGAAGCATATGGTGATTTTTAAGGTAAGACAGGCGCCCACCACAACCCACTGTGGTCCTGTCCAGGGGATGTACTTTTACATCAGTGATATCAAAACCAGATTGGTGCTTGTTCCACTTTCACCAGTGGGACAATTTACTTATTTTCTCTGTTTTACATAATTGTAAATTGAATATCTTTGGGTTCTGGACTGTTGGTTAGACAAAGCAAGACAATGAATAAGTAATGAAATGAATTGTCCATTGTAGTGTTACACTAAGAATTTGTTGACTAATATTTAACTTCTTAGCAGCTACCAAAGGCACTAAATAAGTAAAAACTGTTTTTCCACATGTTAGGGTTTAGAGGGAAAATCTGTGCATATGGTTGTGTAGTGTATTGTTGATTCAGTAGCTCTTCACCAGAACGTCACCCTGTCTGAGACTTGGTTCATGAGGTTTTCTTGCCAGTATCTTTTTCCTCTGTGCGCTCATTCTGTTGTTTACTTTTCAGTATTTTGGTCGTAGTAGTGGTGACGCGGCACTGTAAGTTTAGCTGGCCTAGGAAAGAATGAAGAACTCCTTTCTAATTAAGTACTGTGGTAGATGTCAGCAGTGATAACATGAAAGTTTGTCCTTACCATAGCTGCCACACAGACAGACACACTGGAACATTTAATCTCAGCTGTTACAGCAGCCTGATGGGATGGCACACATAGCAGAGTAACTAACCACTGTAGCTAATGCTGGTGATATTCCCTGTTTTCTGTTTGCTCATCCAGAATGTCTGTGTGACAGCAAACCTGTGATTAGCTGGAAAATCATATTTTTACTACCAAACCTACACACCATCCATCACAATGAATAGCCGGCAAATAATAGTGCTGCCTTGGCTAGATTATGCCCCACTAGCTGCGGCCTATAATATTATAGCCAATATCATTGTTGCTGAACAACACAGGAAAAAGACTTTTATTTTTCTTTGCAGAGTGCACACTGGCCGGTCTTAGATTTTACACATCTGAATCCATGTCTTTCAGAAGCTGGCACAGTGAAGTGCTATTTTTGTATGCTTGAAGTAAAAACCACATGGCTGTTGCATAAATACAGCTCCTTTGAGACATGTATGTGTGTGTGTGTGTGTACACTGTATATATATATATATATATATATAAGACCATAACCTTAGGTTCTGTTAACATTAACATAAAAATGTAGAAAAGCATTTCATTTTTTGATACTTGATAGTACTGAAGTAATTTAATCGATGTCATTAGATATCAACGCTCATGGATGACTTTACTTCAATGTTTAGTCTTGTTATCACTGTAACAAACTTACTTAAAAGTATGATTCCTCACTTCTGAGAAGAGGCCTTTGCTTGGTTCACATTTGAGTTAAGTCCTGTCTAGTCCAAATACCCTAGACAGTAGGTGTCATGTGGCTGGAACTCCCCTAAGTCATTGGCTCTTGGGTGCTCCCAGTTTGGGCAAACGTCTCCTGGAGGAATGAGGTCAGTGTGTGTGTCACAGGCTGTGTGTCTGTCTCTGCTAAGTTCTGGAGGTCAGCATTTCAGGACTCACATGCAAACAGCTTGTCTTGTGTGACTGAATGAATAATAAAACAGTCCTGCAATACTTGTTTATCATTTAGTTTTAATGCAGTTGGGAGCGGATCTGGCCTGTTTGTAGATGTACCATATGATTCGGCCTTTTTAAAGGCTCACCTTGAAGCACAGTACATCAGTGTTGCCCTGATCTACTGAGACGGGACATTTTGTTGTCTTTGCCTGCCATGTGAAGTAGCACCTGTTTGCTGCTATTTATATGCCAACGCCTTGCTACAGTCACTGTCATAAAAAGAACAGTGATATTTTTGAACTCATAACTCAGCGAGGCTGTTGTAAATAAATGTTATGTATAACATGTTATATATCAAATTTGGGGTGGAAAAGCCTGACAAAGTACTTAAAGCTACTCTACATTTTTCTTTTTCAACTTACAGCTACTTCTATCTACTCTTTGGCCCTCCCATCACACCCAGTTTCCTAGCAATGATGTATGCTACGGATGCCTGGTTGCGACAAACTATACAAAATGCAGCTTCCAGTCCGAAGCTAGCGCTAGGTGACTAGCAAGTAACTTATTAATCCAGTAGAAAGCTCTGGTTACTAATAATGTAACACACAGCGCTAATGTTTCACATAGCTCAAATTACTTCCAAATTAAAATCATATGAATTCATTCCAAAGGTTATGTTACTGAAAAACAAAAAATACCATTATCTTATATGCTAACACACCCAGAAGGAAGAACTCCACATCTCAATCAAATCTGAGTCCTTTGGCTGCTTTTAACCATCTCCATGTCAAAAAGCCAAACTATTGTTAGCCTTGGGTTTTGCTCTTTCTTTGTCCCACTCTCTCTCTGTGCAAACGATGCCTCCTCTTCACTCTGGCAGCCACACTCGGTTTTGTAGCTGCGGACAGCGCCACCCTCGCTTGCTGTTTGAACAATTCTTTTTACACCCTTCGCTAGGTCACTGGTGGGGACTAATGTATGGACCGTACTTTTACTCGATATATCAGACAGTGCGTGAAGTCTTATTTGATGCTCCTTTAAACAGATCCGATAAGGGATTAGAAAGGATTCAGATGTGATAAGCAGATTTGGAACTGAATTCAGATGCATTCCCCAGGATGAGTCATTAATCATAATTTGGTTGGAGGCTGGGAACCAGACACTTGAGACTGACTCAGTGGTGACTACACAAATACTTTACACAGTTTGATGTGTCTGTGTGTGTCTTTGATATGTCACACAATGTGTGCTCATCAGTTTGTCTTCATAAATCTCTACACACCCCAATTTTGTGACCTAGCAAAGAGCATTTGCATGTGGGTGTGTCGGCTCCTGTAGTTCTGGAGGATCCCCTTGTCAGCCATCTGCCCCACTCCTCCAAGACAAATGGCAGCATTCTGGATGCCAACCTTCTTTTCTCTTCATCACTTTTTCATTCCAAGAAGGCTTCTTCAGTGCGTGTTGGAGACTCTCCCCTCCAGATTGTCATCAGCACCTCTGGGCGTTTGAAGTCACTACTTAGCAACGTGTGTCTGGTTAACCATTATTTACCCTGGCTCCTCCTTTCTGGACTCTTTGACCTACTAACCAGAGAGCTCAAACAAGCAGCTTTAACATGTCTGTGTGTTATAGATCCCTGCTGCCGTGTCATGTTGGGATCGCTTTTACAAAACTAACCCTGTGGAGCAACAGAGTGCCTGCAGAGTTACAC